CGTCACACCTCAGTGAGGGGAGTCACTGATGAGGTAACCCACTATTTTTGGCAACCCTTGGGCTGTAACTACTTGTTGGATCTTTCTTGCACATCTTTGTTTTCCTGAGAAACCACTTTGAGGATGCCAACATGTACTGCAGCAGCCACTGATGATTTCCTACCAATCTGTCCATAACTCTTAATGTTTGTATTGCTCTATGCTACTTTGTAAATGGATGTATGTTTGTTACTATATGTTTGTAACAACAACCATTGAGAATAGTCAATGATTATTTGATTGATCACTCATGTATAGCTCTATTTGTTTTCCCTAGAGACCACTTTGGAGAAACCAGGGTATAGTACAACAACCATTGATAATTTCCTGCCATTTCTGTCTGTAACTCACTATTATTTGTCTGTTTGTTTTCCTGAGAAACTATCTTGAAGATACCAATAGGTAAAATAACAACCATTGATAATGTTCTACCACTTTGTCTGTAATTTGGTGTATCCCCCTACTGCTTTGTTGTCCTTCTTTTACTCTTTAAAATAAAAATTTAAAAAAAAAACAACAACAAAAGTCAAAAGCAAATTCTGACTCTATAGCTGTGTCCTCTGTGAATACAGTGGGGTGAGGGGAGATAAAGGGGACCTAGATCAGTCACTTATGTTTGCTTGTGGTCTTTCGTTTCCAGTGCAGACTTGTAAACATGAAGTAGGATGGAAAAAATGGTTTCTTAACATAACTGTTTAACTGTGAAAAATAAATCTGAAAAAATTTGAAAGAATACCAATTGTAATTCGTGCAGGGTTGCTTGGTCCTTTCACTCACAAAAACAGTGTCTCTTTCAACCCCATTTACTGAGCTCTTAGGAACCCACTCTCTGTCAGGTCCCAGCTAGACCAAGCAGGGATGGTTCTGCCTGTAAGGCTCCAACTGGACCTGACTCCCAGCTCCCAGCTTGCTCGCCAGCAAAACTCTCTACAGTGAACTCTGCTCTATTTGGGGCAGATAGCTTTGTCACTCTCTGCCTGCCTGCACCCAGGTATTAAACCATGTGCCTTGTTGCTATTACAAAAGTCTGTCCTGTGGTCTCTTGCCTGGAGTTCGTTAGACTGCCTCCCCTCCGCCCCCTGAGAGAGGGTTTCACCATGTCGTGTAGGCTGGCCTCAAAGTCAGTATGTAGCTCAGGCTGGCCTCTAACTGCTAGGCGATCCTCCTGCTTCAGCCTCTCCAGTGCTGGAACACCACGCTTGGCCTGTTCTGTTTCATAGATGGGAATTTGACGCACTGAGAATAAGCTTAGATTCTCAGCGTGGACGCTGACATTGTGAGCGCAGTGCTCCGTTCCAGCTTGTGCC